TCTTAAATTTTGGGAGTTGGAAGTCCAGACCTCTTAAAAGTGGCCACGGTTGAGGAACATTGGCTTAAAGCGTTGGATAAACCAACCCGCTGAGCTCCAGCAACCATAGAGTGTGCTCTCTAGAGAAGCCATGCCCTGGGGAATTCTGGGAGTTGAAGTCCAGACCTCTTAAAAGTGGCCAGTGGTTGAGGAACATTGGCGTGAAGTATTGAAAAACCAAAATCCCACCTTCTTGCTAGCTCCTGCCCTTCAACAACGTTCCTCAAGGAATCGTCCCCCGTGAAGTCTCCCAACCTTTTCCTAAACCGTTTCTGTCTCGACAGCGAGGAAGACAACCAAGTCAAGAGGAAGCCTCGCCTCTTCTGCGACATTTGCGATTGTTTCGACCTCCACGACACCGAAGATTGCCCCACGCAAGCCCAGGCGCCCGAGGAACCTCCCCACTCCACGTACCACGGCAGTCGGAAGGAGCAACGTCCCTACTGCACCATTTGCGAGATGTTTGGCCACTGGACCGCCAACTGCAACGATGATGAGACCTTCTGACAGAGGACAGGAGCGGAGAGAAATGAACGTTGCTTTGGGCGCTAGTTGGACCTCATCCTCCACCGCCCACCTCCAAGGGTGGGGCCAGAAGGAGAGGAGACCGGCACTCTTTCCTCCCAGAATCCCTTGCAGCAGCCACCCAGAATTTTAAAAAAGACGCTGTGTGGATCTGGTCTTCCACAAGCAGGATAGTTTTTATTCCGCCCTTCTTACGATGGAATTAAAATAAATAATTGAACAGGGGCTGCCAATTTTCCTTTAGAAATTTCGTTTCCTGGGTTTGCATCCAGAAAACTTCCCTCCGGTCGCGTGGCTTAATTTGGGGGAGGGGGGTGGGGAGGAAATGAGAGGAGTTGGGGTGTCAAACCAGCAAGCCCCCTAGTTCTATTTTAGCTCATTTAAAGCTCTTTGAAATTATGCTCTTCATTTTCCTATTTGCACTACTACGCTCCTCCAAGCTGCGGTTGTACCTTTCTTTTAGCGTTTGTAACCTTCTCACACTGGAATGGGTTTAAGAGGCGAGCTCTTATTAGTTTCTTATTTTTCCAACGTTTGTTTGTTTGTGTTTTTCCTCGGCTTTGTGATCTCTCGATCAACCGACACGCGTGAGCAAACTTTCGTGCGTGTGCTACTGGTGCAAGACCTAGAAGTAGTGCCTTCCTATCCGCGGGATTTCTTTTAATGGTGTGAGATTTTGTCGAGGCAAAAAAGAAAAGAAAAATACCACAAAGTAGGTCAGCCACTGTGGGGAAATATTATTTTTTTTCCCCTTACGAAACCTCTCCAGCTGGGCGTTTGGGAAATCTCTCCCTGTTTTTTCAGCTTCTGTAGAGTTGTACATAAGTACATATATAAATATATTTAAGAAAAACAAAGATTTATATTTTGGAAAGCAATTTGATTGTCTTTAGTGCTTCTGTTATTCTGAAAAAGAGGGCTTTTGTGTACTGTAAATTGATTTAATGACTTAAACAGCCTCAAAAAACTTGGGAGATTTTTTTTTCTGGCTGGGGTGGGTTTGAGGGGGGTGGATAAAGGGGCAAGTTTGCATGTACCAAAAAAGGACACGCACACACACAAAAATCATCTGGCTACAGTTTATATCCCGTAACAGATTTTTATCAAAAGTCTGTCCTGAAATCAAGACCCTTTTTTAAAACCAATTAAGATGTAATTTATTTATTTTCCCCTGGGTTGCAATTTTGTTCCAGGTGAATGTAAAATAGAAAAAACTCCATGTTTAAATAAGGAGAGGTTTCTAAGAAGCTGGTACCTTACAAGAACATTTTAAGAGGTCTAAAATGGAGCATATTTCTGAGTGAAACTGTTTTCATGCTAATTTAATGCCTGGGGCGTTCCTGTGGAGTTACCCCGTCATGGAGTAAATGCCTTGTACTCTAAGAGAGACAAAGATGGTGCCACACTCTCTTCTTTTGAATGTTACAAAAAGAAATGTAAAGAAAACACTATCAGCCTTCCTTGCATAATGGAAGATTTTAATTCTTCTATAACTGTTTGGGTTTACCTGTGTTTCTTTTTACATGCACACACAGACCTATGGAGAAGCACATAATCTGTGCTAGTTGTTAATTATTCCCAAATTACAATCAGTATTTGGCCTATGAGGATTTTTTTGAAAAAATAAATCAGTGTAACTGTTTGAACTTTGGAGTAAAGAATGTATTATAGGGATAGTCATTAAAAAAAGCAGGGAAATCAGTATTAAACTAAACCAACTGTACTGTATCTTTAATAAAGGGAGTGTTCTCTACAATTCAGCCTTGCCTCCTCCTTTTCCCAACTATTTGTGAGTGTTTGGCGCTTGGTATCCTGGGCAGCAGGTGCTGTTTGAACAACAATGCTGGCTTATGTTGGCCAGCCTGATGATGATTTGCCGGAATGAGTTGTTTAAAGACATATCAACTTTGAAAGTGTTAAGCTGTTAAATTTGTTTATTTATTTCGCATGCGGCATCTACAGAGGTCATGCAATCGTTGATATACAACCAATGAAACAAATTATACATAGAAACATAAATATAAGTTTAAGTAAAACAGCAGATCAGAGAGAGAGATTGGATGGATGGGAGAGGTGGATAGCTAGAAATATATGATGGATGGATGGATGGATGGATGGATGGATGGATGGATGGATGGATAGATAGATGATAGATAGATAGATAGATAGATAGATAGATAGATAGATAGATAGATAGATAGATAGATAGATAAAAGATAGATGAGAGATGGTAGAAATAGAAGACAGATATAAAAATGAGAGATGATAAGATATAAAAGAAGACAGATATAAAGATAGATGAGATAGATGGTGGATGGACAGACGGACATAAGGATGTCCATATAGGATGGATAGATGGATGATAGGCAGATAGAGATAGATTGATTGATATAGAGAGATGATAGACGTAAAAGAGATGAGAGATAGATATAAAAGATTAGATGATAGATATAAAAGATAGATGAGAGATAGAAGACAGATATAAAGATGAGAGATGATAGATATAAAAGAAGACAGATATAAAAGATAGATGAGATAAGTGACGGACGGACATAAGGATGTCAAAGGATGGATAGATGGATGATAGGCAGAGATAGATTGATTTAGATGATAGACATAAAAGATGAGAGATATAAAAGATTAGATAGATAGATAGATAGATAGATAGATAGATAGATAGATAGATAG